TTCTGGAGGCCTTTGGTCCAATTTGCTACCGTGTCTGGGTTGTAGGTCGGAGTCGTCTTGGATGCCTCATGAGGTCCCTTGGGGTACCTCTGGGGGCCTCTTAGAGACATCTTGGGCCATAGTGAGCCTCTTGGCGTTCTCGGGGGGCATATGTGCGTATATTTGATCAAGCGGGTTCGCGTGATCAATTTGGGACACCTTACCAGGCCTCAAGAAGTCTCAGCTCGGGGGCTCGGCTTCGTAGCGGGGCTCCAGCTAGGGAAACCTAGGGAACATTGACTCGAGCAATTCTTTCCGGGTCATGTTAGGGAAAGCCAGAAGCATTGCTTGGGAAGAGTCCCCAGGTTGTTCCACAAGCCAGCCGGTGCAAGTGGGAGGAAAGCGCAGGAAATTTTGAATACATCAGTTTCGTCACACCTTCTTGAAGGCTTTCCTGTGATTTCTGGCCTCTTGAAAAGTCACGCGACGATCCCCGAGAGCGCCCAGAGACGCCAATGACGAGTCACCGCCGCCCCCAGCCGTTCTGGAAACGCATACGTGGCCGATGAGTTCGAGGTTGATCACGGTGTTGGTTGATGTGTTTTCCCCCGGCACTTGTGTAAGCCATGCGGAGGACTCCTTGAGGAGGAAGTGAGAGCAGCCCCAAGGCGCCCTTGCCGACGAAGTCGCCCCAGAGGATATGCACATGTTACGTCACCTCCGTAAGTTCAAGCACTTCGCCCCTTTTATGAGAATTGGCACATTCGGCTGGCCACTCGCGGCCCGAAGCTACCATAAGCGTGTGGAAGTCGATGAATGGAGAGGAAGCGTGCTGCCAAATAATTTCCAGTTATCTAAACATGTTTCATATATGCTTTAACTAGATACAAACATGCTTGAAATATGTTAGAACAGGTTTTACACACATTAAACACATTGATAATTCAATGATGGGGTTGTTAGAGTGTCCATTGTCATGGCATCCACAATCCTAAGATACGCGCAGAAGGGTGATGATGCCAAGAAGGGGACGCCTTCTGCGGGACTCTCGGTGCCACGGGTGGCCGCCTTGGAGACATCTCGGACTGCCCCTGGCGGATTTGCGGTCCTCAACGAAGGAGATCTCGAGAGGGACCCCGAGGACGCTCCACTCCGTGCCTCGGGGAGCCGTGCGTGGACCTCCCCCGAGCAGTCTCGGCAGGACCATATGTTGGGCTGGTGTGGGAAGCAGCGCCACGTGGCGACGTCGTGGCGTTACAGAAGCGACCGAAGAAGACGGGGTCGTCTTCACCGACATTGGGTGCAAGCTACCCGTGTAAGCTCGCGTGGCGTGCCGGGCTGGCGTCCCGCGCAAGCCACCGCCTAAGGTCGCGACGTCATCTCGCGTAAGGCCCGTTCTTGCTCGTTGCTCACATGGTTGTTGTGCTGCCCCTTGGGGAGCTCATCGGGCTCTTCTTGTCGGCTGAAGTTTGGGGCCTCCTGGATGCTTCCCGAGGATGCCCAGTAGGACCCCGCTGCGGGCCGTCCAGTCGAGAGTTGCTAAACATGTTCCTGGTCCAAGGTGCCCCCAACCTATCGCTCCATGTTGAAGCCCCTGGGGCCCTCTGGGCCTCGTAAGGGCTGATCTGAAGGCCGTGGGGGCCTCCTTGGAAATCCTGCGGACACCTTGGGCCAGGGACACTTCTGGCACCACTTGGGCCGTCTTGGAGCCCTGTTGGGATCGTCTTAGGCCTTCTCTTTGGGCGCTCCTTGGCCGCCTTGGGGCTTTCCTGGGCCGTCTTGTGGTGGCTTTTCGGGCTCTTTTAAGCGGAGGGAGGGGTGCGAGGAGGGAGAGGGAGGATACTGAGAGAGGGGCAGAGGGAAACAGAGACAGAGAGGCAGACGGACCAACAGAGACATCTGGGGCAACAATAGGGGGGATCTTCCTAGGGGGGGCACATCAACCTCCCATCGCCCATTGATCTCCGATTGGGGTCTCAGGGCCCCGCCCCGCCCATGAAGGTGCTGATTTACTATCGGGGGCCGATCGCCGATCTATCGGCGATGCATCGCCGATTCCAGGTCGATGTTCCCCCCTATGCCAGTCCCCCCTTATCGTTGCCCCGTTAGACACACACATACACATATAGATATATGTATATATATAGAGAGAGAGAGCGAGACAGACAGACAGACAGACAGACAGACAGACAGACAGACAGACAGACAGACAGACAGACAGACAGACAGACAGACAGACAGAGAAGTAGAGAGAGAGAGCTAGACAGAGGAGGAGGAGGAGGAGGAGAAGCAGGAGGAGGAGAAGCAGGAGGAGGAGGAGCAGGAGGAGGAGACGGAGAAGGAGAAGGAGAGAGGAGGAGTAGGAGGAGGAGGAGGAGAGGAGGGGGAGGGAAGGAGGAGGAGGAGGAGAAGGAAGAGGAGGGGAGGAGGAGGAGGAGAGGAGGAGGATGAGAGGAAGGAAAAGAGGAGCGGTCAACACACAAGCAGAGCAGCAGCAGCAGCAGCAGCAGCAAAACGAGGAGGGGGGCACGAGGGAGGAGGGGAGGCAGGAGGCAGCACGTGGCGGGAGGCGGGGGAGGAGGGGGGGAGGCATGACGCAGGGAGGGGAGGAGAGGGGGGGAAGGCGAGGAGGGAGGACGAGGAGGGAGGGGCGAGGGGGGACGAGGAGGGATGACGAGGAGGAGGACGAGGAGGGAGGACGAGGGGGAGGGACGAGGGGGGACGAGGATGCAGGACGAGGAGGAGGACGAGGAGGCAGGACGAGGAGGGAGGTACGAGGGGGGACGAGGAGGGAGGACGAGGGAGGAATGGGGGAGGACCGAGGCCGCAGGGGGGGCGGGGCTGGGGGGAAGAGGGAGGTCGAGGAGGGAGGGCGGACGGGGGCGGCGAGGCGGCGGGCGGGCGCCCAGCCCCCCAGGAGTGACGCCGGCTGCGCGCGCGCTGCAGCGGGGCGGCCACCACGAGGTCAGGGGCAGGCTCCGGACCGACTCTGGCATCGAGGACGCCGCGCTCTCCTCGGGCGCCTCCTACCTCCTCCCTCCTCTTGCGCCCTCTCCTCATCCGCAGCCTCATCCTCATCCTCCTCTTCCTCCTGCTCCTCCTCCTCTTCTTCCTTCTTGAGGCATCGCATTCTCGAGTCCTCCCCTCCTCCTCCTCCTCCTCCTCCTCCCCCCTCCTCCTCCTCCTCCCTCCTCCTCCCCCCCTCCCCCTCCTCCTCCTCCTCCTCCTCCTCCTCCTCCTCCTCCTCCTCCTCCTGCTCGTCATAGCCATTCGGCGCAAGAGTTCTGGCATTTGTCCCACGCGCCCCGTCACTGTATTGTTCGGAAGTTGATTCTGCCTGTAGGGTGCTGGACGTTGCATTGGAGTCTCCCGCGGTGGCCGCTGCCTACGGGGCTGTCTGCGCTGCGCTGGACAAAGGAGTCACAGCCTGCCTGCTCGCGACAGTGGTGTCTGTGGTGTCTGCTGCTGCGCGTGGTGTTGCAACTTCTGGGTGGGCCTAGACACGTTGCTCACTACGGCGCACGAGTTTCTCCAAGAAGGGACGTTGGCCATTGCAGGGCGCACGCTGGGCACTGGTGTCAAAACCACTGTGCCCGAGTTGAAGGGCGCCCTGCGGGGTCGCGGCGAACGCGATATTACAGCGCGAGTTGGTAGGCTCTCGAGGCTGCGTAATCCTGCCAGCCGCCCCGACGTCGGATTGGCCGCCGATGTCACCAGGGCGCTCCAGGTCGAGTCGAAGTTCACCGAGGCGGGCCTCGAGCTTCACAGGAAGTGCGAGGTGTCCGAGGAGTTGCCCGTCACGCTGGAGGTCGGAGCGCAGACGCAGGCAGTCTGGGTCAGTGCCGACGTGGACAGCGTGCACAGCGCGATGGAAGGCTGGGGAGCGCGACTTCGTGGCCGTCCAGGCGGAGGAGAAGTTGCCGGCGTCCGTCAAGACGTCCACCCCGACCGTCGAAGTCGTGTGCACGGTTGAGCGCTGCGCCCAGGATCCTGACTGCGGGCCGCGGCCACGACGCAGTTGTTGGATAAGTCTGCCTCCAGGGACCACGAGCAAAGGACCGATGTTCTGGGTGCGAGCCTTCACGGGGCTGCTGAAGACGCTTCCGTCGAGGCCATGCCTTCGGCAAATCACAGCTTCTGCAAGCTTCGCCCTTCAACGCGTTATTCTCCACGGATGTGGACAGTATCTTCAAGGCGCTGTGCAGGGAGAAGCCCAGTGGTATCGAGGCATCTTCGCTCCCAAGCCGATCGATGACGAAAGTGCCTGCCCTGTCTCGGCCGCGAACATCCCCGCTGAAATGGCCCGCGACCTTGACGCGATCTGCACTTCCAGCGGGCACATCAGGAGTGCAGCCCTCGCTGCAGGGTTTGGCATGCAGCCCCAGGCCATCAAACGAATGTTCATAGTGAAGCGCCATCGCAAATAGGTCCGCTGGAGGTTACGCGTGCGATCAATATGTTTGATTGTGTTTCGGGCTGTGCGCACACATGTTTCTGACGTACCTACCGCGTTTGCAAGAACAGCCGTCCGCTCTGCAGCTCCGTGCTGCACTCCGTGTATTCCCATGGAGCGGTCGTTGTGAGGTTTACAGTGGAAGCCCATGCCACGAAACACCCCGCTCGCCTCCAGGGTGCCCTGGGTTGCTTGCCTTTTGCTCGTGTCGCGATGGGCTGCGTGACGCTCCCACGCCAAAGCCAATGGACATCCTGGGGTTTCAGGGTTGGGCTTCTCGTGGAAAGTTTCCTGTGGTCAGGCTCCTCTTGTACCCGCGGGAGCCTCCCACCGCTGCCCTGTGCACGTTCTTCGTCGCCCGAGTCGGTTCGGGACGCTCAGGGCCGGCCCCGCCTGGGCCTCCTTCGGCCCTGGCTGGTCGCTGCGCCCGCTCCTGCCTCGGTCCGGCCGTGCCCCGTGGGGGAGGGTGTGCGCCTTCTCTGCGACGCCCCTGGGTCGCGGAAGGGGCGCGCTCCCGTCAGTGCCCTGTGTTGGGCCCACGTCGCCCTGCTCGGAGACTTTGGGCTGCCGTCTTCTTGGGTTCGGTCTCCGACTGGACCCCCGATCGCGCGGGAGGGTTGGTGCGTCTCTGTCCACCCCCCTGCTTTCTTCCATGTTGCAGACCGGTGCTCGTCGTTGGCCTGCACCTTTGCTGGCTCGCTCCCCCTCCTGCTCCATTGTCCTCATCCTTATCCTCCCTCTCCTGCTGCTGGTCTTCCCACTCCTTCGAGCTTCGATCTGCGGACTTTCGGCTCACCGAGAGGATGTGGCCCTCGACCCCTGCCTCCTGCTCCCTCCTCCTCCTTCTCCTCCCCCTCCTCCTCCTCCTCCTCCTCCTCCTCCTCCTCCTTGTCCTCCGCCTCGTCCTCTTATTCCTCTGCCTTCTCTCTTATTGTCTTCTCCGTCTCTCTGGGGTCTCACGCTTTCGCTAGCTGGTGCTGTTGGTCCCAAAGGGCAGAGTCCCGAGTCTACAGTCCTCATCCGTCTCATCCTCCTGCTTCTCCTCTTTCTCAGTCTCCTCCTCCTCGTCCCAGCATCCAAGCAGGCAGGCTTCCTCACAAGGCGCGCCACGTAGACTCACACGAGTGAAAGGAGCAGGGGAAGGAATACTAAATCCCCCTAACTTCAACCTCTGCAACCTGCGGAGGTTGGAGTAGGTAAAGAAATCGCTTGGGCCGCTCGGTTCGTGTTGGTCACGCGGGTAGCGCGGTAGCCGATGGATGCATCTTGTCCACAACACGGCGGTAGTTGCGACAAGCTGCAGCAGATCCGCATTTTGGCCGCCACTGCGCAGGTGGGCGTGGCGGTACTCCAGCTGTCGTGGGCCGGGCCGCTCGGCTGCCCGGGCTCGTGAGCGACAAACATATCCGTGCCCACGACCTCGCGGGCCGGGCCCCTGACCTAACCCACGATTCAGCGGACACGGGACGTTTTCGTTTGCGGATGCCCCGCGCGCAACGTGCCCGTGCGGACCGCGTACCCGCGGGATCGCGCCCCGGAGTCCAGGCCGCGAAGGTGTGGATATGGATATACGTTCGCCATAGTGTTGGCCGCCGTTGCCCGCGTGCGTGGGCGGTGGTGGCCTTCGTGGCCCTCCCTGGCCTCAGGCGAGCGGGCCTTGCCGCCGTGCCCTATGCCGCCGCCCAGCTACAGGCAGTACCGTGGGGGCCTTTTTGTCAAGAATATGCCCAGGAGGGTTCAGACCCTGGAACACTCCTTATCTGATGGGGGCGGCGGTGATATCCATGGCCAGGCCTCAAAAGGTGCTTGACCAGGTCTTCAGACCCTGGGTTCTTGATCCATCCGTTCCTCATGCAGTGCCCTCACCGTGCCGAAAGTAGCGTCGACGTTTAGGGCCGGCTCGAGGCAGGCGGCAACGCCTGGCTGCCCCTCAGAAGTTGCCAGAGCGAGTCGTTTTTGGAATGCCGGGTCGTTGGTCGTGGTCAGAGTGGGGCGGGCGAACGGTATGACAAGCCCTGGGTGTGTGGGAGAGGTCGGATCCCGTGGCCCCGATTATGTTTGCTTGTTGTCGGTGTTGTTGTCGTGGTCGCACCCCCCCGCGGCGGCCCACCCGTTACCCACCCCGCGAACCACCCCGCGACCCACCCGCGACTCACCCGTGACCCACCTGCCGGAGGGATCCAGGCAGGTTGCCCTTCCCCGTATAAGATCAATACCTAATTGGAGGACGCGGCGGCCCGCAGCCTTCCTCCGTAAAGCGCAAGCTCTCCGTCGCATCCGTTGAGCAGCAGCCTCGCTCGGAGGCCTGCGAGGCGTGCTGCCTTGCGTTGACGCTGTACCTCCCGCGTTGGTTGCCAGGCCGCAGCTCTACGGTCGTAGCCTTCTTCGTTGCCCTCATTGTGAGCGTAGCTCTCCTCCAGGTTGTAGTTACCGTTGTCGCTGTAGCTCTCCGGCGGGCTGTAGTTGTCATTCAGGCTGCAGCTCTCCTGGTTGATCTAGCTCGCGTTATGGCTTGTGCTCTGTTTCAGGCTGAAGCCCTCGTTGTGGCTGTAGGTATGCGGCAGACTGTAGCTCTCGTCGTCTGTGCAGCTCTTCCTCTCGTCCTCGCAGCTGTAGCTCTCGTTGCGGCTGTTGCTGCCGCTGAGGCTGCAATCCACGCTGTGACGGACGCTCCCCAGCCAACTGTAGCTCACCCTCAAGCCGTGGATACACGAACCCTTACCCCCATCACTGCACTGTGCCGCCAGACTCCTCCTGCATTGCTGCAACGTTCGTTCATACGTGCCGTGAACCGTCCGACCATAACTGCGTCATCTAATTACCCGAAGTGTTTGCGCCCAATCTCTCAAGTCTCGACGTGACATGATACCGTTTGGATGCACGTGCGCACCTGACTACTTTGGCGTAAAACTTCTCATACCTGAGGCCCCTTTTGTTGCGGACCTCCCTCGCCGTCCGTCTGCCTCCTCCTTGGTCCAATGCTCAAGAAGCCCGCCTGCAGCTACGGTTCCGGTGTTATCGTCTACAACCTTCTGGGCAGAGTTGCTTCCCAAACGGAAACCACCGCATTAGACTGGGCAGTGGATCTTCTCTGTCAGTGTGTGATGTGAGGCGCCCCAGTAATTTTTCCACGTGTGTGTATCTGTTTTGTTTTCCTTCGCTCCTCTCATAATTATGCTGCACCGTGACCTGCTTGACTATTCTTCTGGGTAGTATATGCACGATGCCCGCCTGAACTGTGGCGCCTGGGGTCGCTGTGAGCCTACCGGTGTCATGGCACAAACGTTTCACGAACCAGACTTAAGGCGGGCGTGTCCCTCTACAGGGGGAATAATCAAACAAAACAGTCATTAGATTGTCAGGGGACGATTGTTTGAGAATTGTTTTTTGCTATTTTGGATTTGTTTGACTATCTTTTTTTTTTCGTCCAAATTCCGCCTGTAGGGGGACCGGCCCGACCTAGAACCAGACACGCGAGAGATGTCGCCGGCGGGAGCACGAAAGAAAGAAAGAAGACCTCGTCCTGGGGCAGATCTCGCCATCTCGAGGAGGAGGAGGAGGAGGAGGAGGAGGAGACCTCGCCATCTCGAGGAGGCGGAGGAGAGGACGAGGACTGTCACGGCACAGCGCGAGATGCCGCCAGCGGGAGTGCGAGACAAAGGAATAGGGAGAAGACCTCGCCCCGGGGGGGGGAGGCGCGAGGGCCCCGTGCAGGCTTCTCGCTCAGGTCGGGCGTGCCCCCTCTGCGGGAGGAGTGCTCCAAATGAGTCCAACAGTTGTCTGGGGACGATGTCTGGACTATGTTTGAATAGTTTGATCGTTTATGTTTCGTTTTGTTTTGTTCTCCCGAATTTTTAGGGGCAGGCTTCTCACTCAGGTCGGGCGCGTCCCTCTGCGGGAGGAGTGTTCCACATGAGTCCAACAGTTGTCTGGGGACGATGTCTTGACTATTTTTGAATAGTTTGATCGTTTACTCCAGATTTCGTAATGAAAGGGAGGGGGTCTGGACCCTCCAAGACAAGCCATTTCAGACCTCCCCCGTGGGAGAACCCTCCAAAACATCGTCCCCAGACCCCCCAGGCCCTCCAAGGTAGCCTGGAAGAGACCCCCCCCCGAAATGAGACCATCCTCCCTTTATTACGAAATCTGGACTATTTTTGAATAGTTTGATCGTTTATGTTTCGTTCTTTGTTATGTTCTTCCGAAATGTTAGGGGTATGCTGCATGTGTATTTGCTGACCCTTTTTTTGGTGTATCTCTTTTTCGTCCCAAAATCTGCCTGTAGGGGAACGGGCCCGACCGAATGTTTCCCTCAGGACCCGTTGCCCCCATGCTGAGTTCGATTCCCCGGCACCGGCAGGGGCCAGCCAGAGCTGGGCGCGGCGATCCGGTGTCAGCTCGATTCGGGGCGACTTGCTGGCGCTCCGATCCGTTCCCGGTCCGACCCGATCTCGCGATTCGGTCCGGCTCAGGCGTGCCCCCTCTCCATCGTCCCGCCTCCCTTCTCCCTATGAGCTGAGCTGACAGCCTCCACCCATGCCTGTGCGACTCCCCAGATTTCTCGGGGTAACATTTTCGGGGGGCGCTGCGGGTGTATGTTCTCGGACGGGGGTGTCCGCTCGAGCGGGAGGCCCCCCTTTGCGTTTGACAACTCGCACCCATACCAACAGCGCCTTCATTGCCTTCAGCGCCTTCATCGTCCATAATAGGTTTGAGTGCGTGTTGACTCTTCATCACCTTCTCTTCGTGCGGGCAGCCGCGCACCAGGACGAGGCCCAGCAGATGCTGCAGGACACCGAGCGGATCTGCCGGGCCAACGCCAGCCGCTTCGTGGACCGGGACTTCCAGCAGCCCGTGCAGGACAGTCGCCGCGGAGGAGGAGGAGGAGGAGGAGGAGGAGGAGGAGGAGGAGGAGGAGGAGGAGGAGCAGGACGAGAAGGAGAAAGGAGAAAGACGAGGAGGAGGCTGAGGATGAGGAGGCGAAGGTCGAAGGAGAAAAACCATGTAAACATAAACTTTTGGCGTTCCGCGCGGATTTTTTAAAATCCGCGCCTAGGCACCCTAGCGGCGCATTCCGGCGCCGCCCTTGGCGCGCTCCGCGCGCCAGGGAGGTGGGGTCCAGCGCGACTCCGAGAAACCCGCGCGGAGCGCCAACAGTTTATGCTCCTGTGGCTTCTTCTGCTCCTGGAAGGAGGAGGTTGCTCCATCCGCCCCCCTGTCGTCTCCAGACGTCCTCCGCCCTTTCCCCCTCCCGTGCTCCACCCTGGACTCTTGGAAGTGCTGCCCCCCGCCGCCCCCCCCCCCCCGGGGGCCGCGCCCGGCGCGGGAGGGGCACGGCGGCGCCCGCCGCCGTGGCACCGGTGCCACCAGCACGCAGCACGGCAGAGCCCCGAAGGCATCTCCTAGGCCTCCTCGATGGGGTCCGAGCACTCCAAATCCCTTAATAATCTACCCCCCCTAAAAAACCGAACCCCCCTCCAAATGCGACCTAATATTCCGGACCCCCCTCTTCGACGGGGCGCCTTAATAAGCCGGACCCCCTGAGCTCCAATCCAAAGAAAGCGCCCTAATAAACCAGACCCCCAAGTTTTCAAAAAGGCGCCTTAAAAAACCGGACCCAGGGGACGATTAATAGGGGATTTGGAATAGGTGGGGTCGGAGGATCGCGTCGCACCGCCGATGCATCGGCGATGCATCGCCGAGGCGGCTCGACGTGGAGCCCGATTTCCGTCACGCAGACGTCGCCGTTGCATCGCCCACGTCGCCGATGCACCGCCAGTGCATCACCGATGCACCGCCGATGCATCGCCGATGTTTCGGCCAGGCGGCGCGATCCCCCGACCCCATCTACTCCGACCCCATCTAGGAGGCCTCTATCATCAGGGGTAACGTAACGCGGGTCAGGGCTAACTCGGTGTCGTTTTCCGGAGATCCGAGCCCGAGTTGCCCCGGGCCCGAGTTACCCGGGATAGTTCGGGCGTGCAGAGCCCCAAATCATCAGGGGTATCACAAAGTCGGGCGTGTCTCTTTACAGGAGGAATATTCTAAGACAGTAAAAAATAGTCTGGGGACGACTTTGTTCCAGCATGTTTGAGCATTTCTTGCAAATCGCTTGACGATGTTTCATTTTTAGTCCAAAATTCGCCTGAAGCGGGACATGCCCGACCTAATAGGGTAGCGCGCGTCAGGGCTAACTCGGATTCGTTCTTTCGGGAATCCGAACCCGAGTTACCCCGGGCCCGAGTTACCCCGGATAACTCGGGCGCCCAAGTACGCAGCAGGAGGTGGCTCGAGGCTCGAGGTTTTTCGGGGGGAGGTTTTTCGGCGGCGTGCCCTGGGGGGAAGTGAGAAGGAGCAGGCCTTTCAGAAGGCGGCGGGGCTTCTCAGATGCCCTCCAGCTCTCTGAGAAGTTGTCTGTGTCCTTCGGGGAGTGCTTGGACAATTTCTCAGAAGGCCCGAGGCCTTCCGAGCCTTCTGAGAAGGCCCGCCCCTTCTCACTTCCCCCCCGGGTTCGCCGCCGAGTTTGAGATGTTTTGAGTTCTGTTTGACATTCTTGAGCACCCTCGTGACCACGGCTGGATTGTCTTCCGATGTTTTTCTCAGGGCGCCTCCCTCTGGAGGTGGTGGTTGAGGGGGGTGAACGGGGAGAAGGAGAGGTGAAGTTCTGCGAACGAGGATCCACGACCGAGGACTTTACAGTCGGGGCCCTGAAGAAGGAACCCTGTTCGTTGGGGAGGGGCTCCGCGTTTCTTAAGTGCTTCGCAGCTTGCCTTAGGTTTTCCGTAGGTTTTCGACGGGAGATTAAACTTTAACTGATGGGAAAAAGGGGCCTCGTTCCTTATTTTGGGGTTCCTGAGGTCAAGGCCCCGACTTTACCAATTTGGCGGGCTCCTTCTGCCTCTGGAGGCCTCGGGGGGCCCTCCAGGACCTGCGGGCGTCAGGACCATGAGCGCGCGGGGGAGGGCCGGAACACGGGGCAGGCGGCCGGGGCCAAGGTCGGGGGCGACGGCGAGGGCGACTAGCCCACGGGGGGAGCAGTGCCGAGGGCCCACGCCTTCGGCGGGGCTCCCAGGCGAGTGCGTGTAAACTGCTCGCCCCTGGGCTGTCTCCGCCTTCCTCGCTGCCACCGACACGGGGGGGGGCGGCAAGAGGAGGCCAGGGGGCCCTCGAGCCGTGCGTGCGCCGTGGTGCTCCCCGCCAGGCGCCAGGGCGTGCCGCAGGGCCCCCCGGGGGCCCGAGCCCCGGCGGCGGGGGCCGAGGCTCGATCCTGGGCGCCTCTTTTCGGGGGCGGCAGGGAGCGGGGTGATGACCAGGGAGGGGGGGGGTCTCATGGTGGGGCCATGATATCTCCCCAGATTTCCTGGCGCCTCTTCTTCTCTCAAGGGGAGGAGGAGGAAAGCGTCGGCGGGGAGGGGGAGTTGGGCGCTCGGTGGTGGGGGGCGCACAGTAAACGGGGCGGGGTCGAGGATTGCAGGAAAGTTGCCTTAAAAAGGACCCTCGAACGAGACCAAAAGGTGCTGGAGTCTGTGCGCGTTTCTCCATCCCCTCGCCCCCCCCCCCGTCGACGTATTCCCCCCCCAGCTAGAATGCTTGAGATCGGGAAGAGTGGAACGAGGAGAGGCATACGGTCAGGAGCTGTCGGTAAGCGTGTCGCGCCACCGGTTCTGGTCTGGCCCGCAGCGCTATCCACGTCCCAGTCCCCAGGCGTCAGCGTCCCGAGCCTTGCCCAGGGCCCCGTCCCGCAGGGCGGAGCAACACGCTGTCTGCGTGCAGGGCGTAGCGTGCCGCCGGGGCCGCCGCCGCCGCGACACGCTGAGCAACAGTTCCCAACCGTAGGAGGGATAGGAGGAGGAGGAGGAGGAGGAGGAGGAGGAGGAGGAGGAGGAGGAGGAGGAGGAGGAGGAACAAGAGGAGGAGGAGGAGGAGGAGGAGGAGGAGGAGGAGGAGGAGGAGGAGGAGGAGGAGGAAGAGGAGGAGGAGGAGGGGAGGGGGAGGGGGAGGGGGAAGGGGAGGGATAGAAGCGTCGCGACGCCAGTTCTGGCCCGCAGCGCTATCCACGTCCCAGTCCCCAGGCGTCAGCGTCCCGAGCCTTGCCCAGGGCCCGTCCCGCGGGGCGGAGCAACACGCTGTCTGCGTGCAGGGCGTAGCGTGCCGCCGGGGCCGCCGCCGCCGCGACACGCTGAGCAACAGTTCCCAACCGTAGGAAGGATAGGAGGAGGAGGAGGAGGAGGAGGAGGAGAGGAGGAGGATATAAGGAAGGAGGAGGAGGAGGGGAGAGGAGGAGGAGGAGGAGGAGGAGGAGGAGCAGGAGGAGGAGGAGGAGGAGGGGGAGGGGGAAGGGGAGGGATAGAAGCGTCGCGACGCCAGTTCTGGCCCGCAGCGCTATCCACGTCCCAGTCCCCAGGCGTCAGCGTCCCGAGCCTTGCCCAGGGCCCCGTCCCGCGGGGCGGAGCAACACGCTGTCTGCGTGCAGGGCGTAGCGTGCCGCCGGGGCCGCCGCCGCCGCGACACGCTGAGCAACAGTTCCCAACCGTAGGAGGGATAGGAGGAGGAGGAGGGAGGAGGGAGGAGGAGGAGGAGGAGGAGGAGGAGGGAATATAAGGAGGAGGACAAGAGGAGGAGGAGGAGGAGAGAGGAGGAGGAGGAGAGGAGGAGGAGGAGGAGGGAGCAGGAGGAGGAGGAGGAGGGGGAGGGGGAAGGGGAGGGATAGAAGCGTCGCGACGCCAGTTCTGGCCCGCAGCGCTATCCACGTCCCAGTCCCCAGGCGTCAGCGTCCCGAGCCTTGCCCAGGGCCCCGTCCCGCGGGGCGGAGCAACACGCTGTCTGCGTGCAGGGCACAGCGTGCCGCCGGGGCCGCCGCCGCCGCCGCGACACGCTGAGCAACAGTTCCCAACCGTAGGAGGGATAGGAGGAGGAGGAGGAGGAGGAGGAGGAGGGAGGAGGAGGAGGATATAAGGAGGGAGGAAGGGGAGGAGGAGGAGGAGGAGGGGAGGAGGAGGAGAGGAAGAGAGGAGGAGAGGAGAGGGGGGAGGGGAGGAGGAGGAGGAGGAGGAGGAGGAGGAGGGAGGAGGAGGAGGAGGACGACGAGGACGACGAGGACGAGGAGGAGGGGAGGTGAAACAGGAGGAGGAGGAGGAGGAGGAGGAAGAGAAGGAGAATAATGAGAAGGAGGAGGAGGATGAGGACCAGTGTAAAAAAACACTATTCATCAACGATGTTATAATCCACCCTCCTCCCAAGCTCCCTTTTCAGAGGCCCCTGGAAGGGTTCGTTTCCACTGAGGGAACTGCCTCGTTGGGAGACATCTGTTTGAAGACCCTTAAGCGTGTCAAGACATCGTTCTCGGGACTCCAGCACCATCATTCAACCTGACTGTTGCGGTTTGACGAGCCCGAGTTGTGCCAGAACACCGTTCCTAGGTTTTCAACACCGCGAACCAACGTAATTGCTGCACCCTCACAACACTGGATCCTTCAAAAATACAACGTTTGTTACGTTGGCCATGGGAATCCGTGAAGCGTTTGCAATTGGTTTACAAAGACTGTGCGCGGCCATAAGGCGAGAACCACCAGTTAAAAAATATTGCAGGCGTTTGAGACCAGGGTGCGCGGCGCTAAGGCGAGAGCCACATGTTGAAGTCCACGCGCTCTCAATCCGTGAAGCTCTTGCAAACTGTCAAGACGAGTGTGTGCGCGGCGATAAAAGGTGAGAGCCACAGGTTGAAAACCACCCGCCTTCAATCCGTGAAACTCTTGCACATGTTTACAACGAGTGTGCGCAGCGCCAAGGCGAGAGCCAGATTTTAAAACCCACCCGCCCTCCATTTGTGAAGCCGTTGCCAAGTTTAAAACTTCAGGGTCATCAGTGGTGAAGACGTCTCAGGCAAAACGCCCAGCCCGCCAGTTCGACAGGCCTCGCGGTGCGACAGGGAGGAGTTATTTACGACAAAAAGAATGGACGAGGTGCCACACGCAGAGGGGGGGTAGGGGGAGGGGGAGGCTTCTTTGAAGCACCCCGGCTTCATAGAAGGCGCGGGCCTCGCCTATGACTAGATGGACGGTCGGCGCCTTCTAAGAAGAGCAGCCTCCTTCTAAGACGTCTTCCCCCCTCCTCCTACCCCCTTGCGCGCACCGCCGAAGGTGATGGTGGTGTAGCACATCCCCTCCCCCCCCGCCCTGGGGTAGAGAAGAATTCGCACCGACAGCCAAGCTCGACTCGACAAGGTTTCGCTGCGTGCACAGCTTGGCGTCCCCCACGGGGCGGTCTCGAGCAGTCCCTCGGCTGATGCGCAGGGATACTGCCGGAGATTCGCCGGGTAAGTGGGTCAGCTTTTCTTTGCGACCGTCTGGAAGTAAATCAGGGATTGACGTGCTGGGCCTTGGGCAGGCGGCATGGGCCTGGAGCCAGAGGGCGGGGCCCGAGAGCACACGGGCACAGCGCATATGAGATGGTAATGCCCTACTGTTCTGGCGTAAGCCAAGAGCAGCCAAGCATGAGTATTGTATCCTGGTCCAGGCATGTGCACAGCGTCAGGCAGTAGACGGACAGTTGTCAGAGCAAAGCGCCGATGCAATGCTGGCAGGTGGAGCGCGCGTGCTGCAATGGCGACATACCAGATCATTGCACGAGCCTTGCGGCTGTCACGTTTTGCAATTCATCTTGTGCGAGGGAAGGTGTTGAAGACACAAAATTCAAAATTCCACCAAAGGAATGTTTGTCTCAATGTTTTGTGTTTCCTAGGGGACCTTGGGGAGCCCGTTGAGACGTTCGGGACTGGTGATGCTCCGACACCCCATTCGCTCCATAACTCCGACGAGGACCACTGCAGGCATACACGTTGCATTCGACTGATGTGTGTTTTTTTCACAAAAAGGGCAGATGATAAACAAGGAATGACAAACTGCAGCACGGAAACTCGGACAGTATGAGCACATGTTGTTTTCTTTGGGGACATATAACGCGAATGACCCGTTGAGACAGCGTGCCTCTACGACTTGGCGGCGCGCACAAAGGGGGTTGGCGTGAGAGGGGCGGCCTTCTGAGAAGGCATGGAGCTTCCGCTTCTGAGAATGCAGTGGAGGGAGGCTCGCAGAAACACCCCAGGCTTCGAACTACAGTGGTGGCCCATGCCGAGAAGCACCCTGCTCGCCTCCAGGGTGCCCTGGGTTTCTCTTGGGGTTCGATGGTTTGGCGATGGAGAGCGTGACGTTCCCACACTAACAGAAACCAATGGACGCCCTGGGGTCTCAGGGTCGGGTTTCTTGTACGGGGTTTCTCGTGGTCGGGCCCCTACTGCAAGAAGCCTTCTTAAAGCCTCCAGACCCTCCCGAGAACGGCCCCTGTCTTCCAGGAAGCCCTCTCGCCCAGCGCCATCCCTTTTTGTGTGCACCACCACACGACCGCTCTTTCTCGCAACCACGTTGAATAGAAATGGTGGCACGAGCCGAACGAAGTCTGTGCATCCTCGTTCGGTGTTTTCCCTGTGCGGGGGGGGGGGGGGCTGGAGAGTGGAGGAACAGGGCCCGCCTGGGGAAGCGGATCCCCGGGATTGGCCCGTTGACGGCGCAATCACACAAGGCGGTATTGACGGAGAGGGATTGCCGAAGTGCACCCCGGCCGCAGGGAATGTTCACGTTCGGGAGGAAGCACCAGATCCATGCGCCTCCGCTGGACACGACCCTTGCGGTGTGGAAGAGGGCCTCTTTCATACGGCTTGCCTTAAGGGGGCATGTCCCTCTACAGGAGGAATAGCCCCAAATAATAAAAACACGTCGGTGGGCGATGTTTTGACTATTTCTTCTATGTTTGAATATGTTTTGCATGTCTTAGTTTTCGTCCAAAATCGCCCTGTAAGAGGACATGGCCTGCCTCCACCACTCCATGCGCGCCCCCGTTCTTCCCCAACAGATTTCCCAACTGTCGTTTCCTCTCAGGGTCCACTTCGATTCGATTTCGATTCGATATCGACTCGATTCGATTCGATATCGATTCGATTCCGATCGAACCGATTCGATTCGATATCGGTTTCTGTTGGCCCTATCCGACTCGATTCCGATATTGCGACGGTCCGATGTTGCCCGTTGTCAGCATGGTCTCGTTATGCACATTGGCGCGGCTGGTCCGATTCGGTTTCGGCTCAGTGCCGATGCGGCCCGATCCGACGTAGATTCTGACCCGATCCGATATATCTTGTCGATGCTGAGTGATCCCGCCCTCGTCAGCGGGGGGGAGGGCAGAGAGAGAGTCGGGCGAGCGAGGGGGGGGGGGAAGTGAGACGGGGCTGGCTTTCTCAGAAGCCTCGGATGTCCCCAGCCTTCTGAGAAGTTGTCTAAGTCTTCCCAGAAGGCACAGAGAACTCGGCCACGCGCAGGGGTGGGGTAGGGGGAGGGGGGAAGGCATCTTAGAAGCACCCCTGCTTCTTAGAAGGCGCGGGCCTTCTCTGTAACTGTAAGGCCGGCGCCTTTTCAGAAGCAGCCTCCTTCTAAGAAGTTTTCCCCCCTCAGCCCTACCCCCTTCTGCGCGCCGCCAGCGAACTTCTCGGAAGACCCGAAGCCTTGTGGGAGGCCCCGCCGCCCTCTGAGAAGGCTTTCTACTTCTCCGTTCTCCCCCCTCGCTCGCCGCCGAATAGTGGCCAGAGGACGGCATGAGGCGAGGAGACCTTAGGGACGCGCCAGGGGGGTGGGCGCGAAGGAGGGGGGGGCACCGCGGAGCCCCGCAGCCCATGGGGCAGAGACACGGGTCGGCGGTGAGCCCGGGGGGGAAGTGAGAAGGGGCGGGCCTTCCCTTGGCGTAGCTCGGACGTGTGCAGTGGTTGTCTCGGCGAGATGGAGGAGCATGCTGGACCACCGAGCAGAACAGGCACGCACGAAACCGGCTCTACTGTACAGGGAAAGGACGCCCGAGCGACGGCGAGAGAAGGGGCGGGCCTTCTCAGAAGGCTCCGAAGCCCCCCCTGGCCTTATGAGAAGTTCCCAAGACTTCTCGACTCGACGTAAGAGTGAACTTTCGCTGGAGTGACCTTTGGTGCGGGCCCAAGGGGGTCCCCCGACCGCCGAACGCCGTGCGGTAGTAGCGTCTTGCGCCACTGTGCTTGGCCCCCTTGCGGCCCCCGAAAAGCCGCGCACCAAAGGTCACTCTTGCCCAGGGCCATTCTTGCGTGCAGCCGACCTTCCCCGAAGGCACAGAGCACTTCTCAGAAGGCCCGAAACCTTCTGAGAGGCCCCGCCGCCGTCTGAGCATTCCTTCTCCTTCTCGCCTGCCCCCCCTCGCTCGCCGCCGAGACGAGGACGCGGACGGCCAGGACGAGGACGAGGAGCAGGACGACGAGGACGAGAGGCAGGGCGAGGACGACGAGCAGGCCATGGGCGACGGGCAGGACGAGGACGGGGACGACCAGCAGGACAGGGGGCGACCAGCAGGACGGGTGGCGACGAGCGCAGGTCGAGTTTCTGTGCTCGGGAGAGGTTCTGTGTGTGTGTGTGTGCTCGGGTGTCAGCCGGGGGTTGAGTCGAGCGTGTCCTTTTACAAGAGGAATATTCAAAAACGATTACAAAACATTGTATGGGGACGATGTTCCTACCATGTTGCTGCTATTTTAAATACTGTTTGGACTGTTTTCCATTTCTCGCCCAACATCCGCCTGCAGGGGGACATGCCCGACCCGAGCATGGGGTGGCCGTTTTCGGGCCTGGGCACCGTCGGAAAAACGGATCCGGGGCGAGAAGCTGCACCAGATGGGCCCCGGGAGGGCTCCGGGGGCCGATGCCTGAACGTATTCGGCCTCATCCCCCGTCCTGGCCGATGTGTCCCGGGGTCTCGGCCAGTTCGGGTCCCCCCGCGGCCTTTAATTTTTTCAACAGCAGTCGCTCCCAACGAGAGCCAGGAGGGATGCCGAGAAAGCGAGTGCGCCTCAATGCAAGCAGTGGCGAAGCCCTCCTCCTCCTCCTCCTCCTCCCCCTCCCCCTCCTCCTCCCCCTCCTCCTCCTCCTCCTCCTCCTCCTCCTCCTCCTCCTCCTCCTCCTCCTCCTCCTCCTCCTCACCCTCCTCACCCTCCCCTCCTGGGGTCGCCTACGGCCCTGGGGGAAACCGTCCATTCCCAGGCATGCCAGCAGCCAGACTCGTGTACCTGCAGAGCTCCGCCGCCGTCGCCAGGAGCACTGAAGAATGGAAGTTACGACGTAAGTCCGCCCACAGATCACGTGCTTGAGGCCAAAGCCTGTTTTGGGGGGCTTCTGGCAAGTTCGCTTGAATGGACGGGGGGGGGCCGAACCGGAAGCAAGCCGCAAACGATTTGCACGTGCGGAAATCTCGCAAGTCGAAAGGCACATGCACGCGAGTAGTCGTTTGACGAGGGGGGAAGGGGGGGGCGAGCGCCATGCAAGTAAACTTGCCTGAATCTAGGCAAACAAAAGAAAGGCTCCCGTGTACCTGCAGAGCTCCGCCGCCGCCGCCGTCGCCAGGAGCACCGACTGGTGGTGACAGCGTAAGTGCGCCTAAAGAGCACCACATGCTTGAAACCACACGGCCCCCACTCGACGAACAGAAAACTGCATGTGGGGGGTCTCGGGCGTGGTGGGGGGGGTCTCGGGCGGGGGGGGGGGAAGGGTCTCGGGCGTGGAGGGGGGGTGGGGTGTGTGGGGGGGGGGCGGGGCGCTGGTCCATCCCAGCGGTCGACAACGAAACCACGGCGCCAACAACAAAGCTCTCGGCGCTCCGCGCGGAGCGCCAAAGGCTTCTGCTCCTGCCGCTGCTGTTTCTCCTCCTCCTGTGGACACCGGCCTCCGCCGCCCGTGCCCCGAGGCGCACGGGGCGTGGGCTCCCCGAGGCCGCGCGCGCGCGCCTCCCGCGGCCGCCCTCCGCGCTGCCCCTCCCCGCCCTCCCCCCCCCCGGCCCGCCGCGGACGCCCCCCGCCCCGCGGCCGGGCGGAGGCGTGGCTCCCGCCGCAGGAGATCACCTGCAGCGCCCCCCAGCGTCCCGCCCCTCCGCCAGGGGGGTCTCTCGGGGGCGCGGCCGGCCGGGGGGGGGGGGGGGCGCACTGGTCCATCCCAGCGGCCGGAGGAGGAAGAGCGGCACAGACGGAAGTTTTTGGCGCTCAAAGTTCATGTTTACATGCCGTTATGCTTCTTCTTATTATTATCATTATTATTATTCTTCTTATTATTATTATTAGTATTATGTTTCTTCTTATTCTTATGATTATTGTTATTATTATTATTGTTATGCGTCATATTATTTTTATTTTTATGCTTATTATTATTATTTTTATTATTATTATTATTATCATTCTTAGTATTATTATTAATATTATTTTCATTATTATTATTATTATTATTATTATTATTATTATTATTAATAATAATATTATTATTATTCTCGTGGGGGGGGGCACTGGTCCATCCCAGCGGGGCGGGGTCGCTCTCGGACGTCTTCGCCGGTTCTCCCTGGCGTCACCGCGTCGGGGTGCTCTCCAGCAGCTGCGCCTCGCCGAGGGCGCTCCAGGGGTGCCGTCCCGATCGGCCCGGCCGGAGAGCCACGCTGTGGTCCGAGCGCCAGGGAGATTTTGTTGGACTCCGGCACGCTTGCTTGCATGGGCGAGGGGGGGGGGCTTTAGCTTGAAGCAAGCCGCAGACGACCTGCACGTGCGGAAACCGCGCAAGTTGAACGGCCCTTCCACGCTAGTGTTCGTGTGAAGAGGGGCGAGGGGGGGGGAAGGGGGGGGGGGGGGGGCCAACCCCATGCAAGGAAACTTGCCCGAATCTAAAGAAAAAACAGTCTCAGAGCAATTGATCGTTTTCTGATTACTTATTTTGCCGGTCGGCGCAGGCTCTCGCACTCCTCCCCAACCCCCCGTGGAGTAATTAGATCTTGGCTGTTTTTCGCGCCCGTTTCGAGCCGGAGGTGGAGTCTCCCCCACAGGACGCACTGCTGCAAACAGTCGCATTAAGCAGAGGTCCAGAACCAGACCCTCCCCCCTCTTCCGCCCCGTGTCGAAACGCCGAGAATGGAAACGTATCAGCAGGAGGATGCCTAGGAGGAAGAGGAGGAAGATGAGGAAGGAGGAGGAATAGCAGCAGCAGAGGAGCAGGAGGCGGAGGAGGGGAAAGGAGAAGGGCGACGATGACGAGGAATGGAAAGACAAATCGGATCCAGAAATGCGGCCCGCGCTTGGCCCAAAGCGCCATTCTGAAGGGCTGGAGCAAAGCGCCGATCCTGGACTGGGACCACGCTGCAGCAGTAACACAACTTTGAAGGACCGCAGACGTCCTGCGTGGAAGCAGAAAGCCACGTGAAGCAGACAAGTGCTTCCATCACTGGTAGTTATCACAGCAGGTTCAAGAGACGAGGGGCCCCGCTGGGACAGGATCCAGGGAGAGAGGAGAGCAGTAGTAGTTGCACTGGGCAGCCGTGGAATAAGAAAACATGGGGAGAAGCAGGGGGAGAAGGGACAGGGGAGAAGCAGGGGGATGAAGCGCAGAAGCCAGGCGAAGGCTGGCAAACCCGTGGCTGCTAAAACGGAGCTCCAGGAAATTGTTTTTTTTGGTTTCCGGAAAGCAGCCCGTTTACTACTTAGCGCGCTGAGCTTTATTCCGGGAATTTGTTTTTTCTTCCGGGAAGGCCGTTTTGGCAGCCGCGGATTTGCCAGCCCTCGCCCAGCTTCCCAGAAGTGCAGGACGGGGACGGCAGGGCGCGTGAAGGTTGCCCGGTTTGTGCCTCGCCGAGCCGAGGCCACGACGGGCAGCCCTTGACGAGCGACCCCTCCAGGGGCCTGACGAGCGCGGAGTTCGAGAAG